TGTTTTTAGAAAGTTTTAAATTAATATTTTAACTTCTATACGAACGATTATGAAATCTGCAGTTTCTTAAATGGGAACATCATCATAAATTAAAAAGTAAATTTAGTCTCAGTTGAATTATATGTAAAATATTTTTCATAATAGATGGTAACTTTTAATATTAATTTAAACTGCCAATTTTATTTGTATTAGAAATAAAATCAAGAATGTAAAAGAGAGAAATTTTTGAGAGAGGTTTAAACAGGGAAAAAAAGAAACAAAGACATCTAAACTATCAATAAAAATAAATTATTATATTTTAAATATAACAATTGCTTGCTGAGACGACAATCCCGATAACTCTGATTGATTATTCATCGCCATCACGTGATTGAATGTACAAAACACGAATTCTGTTATGGATTCTCTGGAATGGCTCAGAAAAATATATATTAACCATGTATAATTTTAATCTACAATATAAATATATTTGCCAGTTGATGTGTTTGCGTATAGATATGAGTAAACGGAGATAGCTAATGTTTAAAACCAATATATATATATATATATATATATATATATATATATATATATATATATATATAAATGTATATATATATAGAGAGATGGATAGATAGATAGATAGATAGATAGATAGATAGATAGATAGATAGATAGATAGATACTATCTTGCTAAAACATCACTAAATAAAAGCTCTTTAAAAGTTAAAGTCAATATTATTCGTTCATGTTAAGTCGTTTTGTTTTCGCTTAAGCAAGAGCCTTAAACTAGAAACTTCTTTTTGTATCGATTTTTTTTTTTTTTTAAATGGATGTTAAAACCAGAATTATGCATTTTGAATTTATGTAACGGAAAAAATGCAGAATTTGTTCCAATCCCATAATGTCAAAATAAAGTTTCAAGTGCAAATAAAAGAAAAAAGTTCTCATTATTTGTTTTCCTGAATTTTCAGTTAATAATTTATATTGTACACTAAACCATTATTATCTTCAATTTTAGAGAAACACAAATAAAAGCAATTGCTGAATCCAGTGTCTTGACCAAAACAGGTATGTGTAGTTGAATAACTGTGTGTATATGTGTTTGTGTGCATGTATTGAGTTAAACACACATATATATATTTGCATGTATATATATCATTATACAATCTACCTGGTGGATGAAATAAACATACATTCATACATAGTTTGAAAAACAATCATCTGAATATGTCTGGAAGCATAGCCATATATCTACACACATATATAACAAAGATGAAGCAACATATTTACATACAATAGACACACACACACACACACACATATATATATATAATATATATATATATATATATATATATATATATATTCAGGATGTAAATCTATATATCTCCACAATTTCCTATATATATATATATCTTAATAAATTTTGTCTATTATTTACATATATATATATATATATACACACATAGATACATATATATGTATATACATGACTCACACACCTTATATATATATATATATATATATATATATATATATATATCCATTGGATGGCTGTAAAAATTTCTCTTCCTAAATTAATCATAAGATTTATACGCATTTCTATTAATCTTGTTTTGTATTCCATCAGACCATTTTCAAATTTAATTTTTGTCATATTATTTAGTAATAAAAATATATTTAGTCACGGAAATCCTAGTTAACACAAAAAACTATATATTTAGACAAACATTTTTTTAACATATATATATATATATTTATATATATATATAAATGGTCATATATATAAATATATATATATATATATATATATATATATATATATATATATATATATATATATTGATAATAACTTTGTAAATACTGTACTTGAAAAAAAATAACAAAAATGGATTCAAACTCAATAATCAACATTTTCCGATGATTAGTTAAATATAATTTTTTCCCTAAACACAAAACTTTTTGTTTTCTTTGTAATCAAATTTTTGAAAGGAATATATATATATATATATATATATATATATATATAAATATATATATTTATATATAGTCTGACTATATATAAATACATATATAATTGGATATATATAATATCTTGGAGAAGAGAGTGAAGAATGGACACATGAATAGGAAGATTTCGTTCTATTGGAACAGACTATTTGACTTAATGTTACCTCCATTTCTATATCTGTGAAATATTCCTGACATTCAGCATTTTTTACTCATGAATATGAATAACTGATGAGTAATGTTAATAATATTTTTTCCAATGCTCACCTTCAGATTTATTATCAATTTGACAGACGTTTATTTAAACGCTTTTCTGTTACTCATTTGCGATACTTTATTTTCCGTTTATTTATTAAACAGTATATTTATTTATTGATTTTTCATCTACAACGGAAAAAATTTTCATTTGAAAAAAAAAATTCATTAAAAAATTTCTTTCTCTCATCTATTAATATATATATATATATATATATATATATATATATATTTGAACACAGACCTTTCAACTCATCTTGAAATATACATCTCTGTTCAGTTTTGTACTTAATTAAACAAAAGGCAATTATCCCAAAATTTTTTCACTTAAAAATCTGAATACATTTTTACCTTTTTTATTTAAACATTATTTTTTGATTCTCAGAAGTTTAGGTTTAAATTGCCAAATATTGGTATCATGATGTATATTGTATCATGTAATATTAAAATATGTGACATTTAGGCAGCATGTATTCATTCAAACAGGTTTTTATTAAATAATATAAACATATATTTATTTTTTTTTATAATAATCCTTTCTAGTTCTCTAATCAGTTTCTTTATGTTGAGATTTACTGATGAATTTCAACTCAACATAAAGAAACTGATTAGGGAACTAGAAATGATTATTATAAAAGTAAATAGATATAATAATATGTTTATATTATTTAACCTTTATCTATATGTGACTTCATTTGCTGTAGAAAAAGTTTATCCTGTTACTGAAGGTGACTGATCCCTGAACAATAGGGTGTTTGAATTTAATATTTGTGTTGTCACATGCTGCTATGGTAACAGAAAACAACTTTGAGTGAAATTAACAATAAGGATACTGCAACTGAGAGGCCTTGAAAAGGAACTCAAAAGGAAAGTGAAGTAATATTAATCATACAGAGTATTAAAGGTTATTGAAACATGTTTGAATGATTATATGCGTGTGTTTGTGTGTGTGTGTGTGTGACACTGAGGCCATGAAGTGTTTAAATGCTAGTTATGAGCTCGACAAAGCCAGGAAAGGGTTAAACCTAAAATTAAATATAAACTGAAAGATCATTTTTTGTGAAGACATCTTCAAAGGTGATGTCAAAGTGAAAACTTCCATCTTAATTTCTTCTCCCCAAATGCATTTCCTTTTTTTTATCTATTTCCTTTTAGCAAGCAAGGTGAAAGATAAATTGAGAAATAAATTTGTCTCTTTCTTGAGAATTTAAGTAAACAAATATCATTAGCAGGAGATAGATAGATTTGGATTATGTTTTTGTGAAAGGAAAAATTGGGAAATAATTTTGTCTCTTGATCGGAAATTTAAATGAACAAACTTTTTTCTTGAAGGTCAAATGTACACACTTTAAAAATTAGATTGTCACAAAGACACTTATTTGCCCTGGATTGGATAATAAAATAAAAAGCAAAAAAACATTTTTCAACATTTGCTGAACCACATGCTGTTTTATTTCACGTTTTTTAAAAACAACTTCATAATACGATTCTTTCAAAATTTTCATTTATCTATTTCATCAGCAAAAATCTACTAAGAGGTCAAGATTTTATTTCATTAATTAAATTCTGAAAGAATGGCCACCTAAAGACAGAATGTCTGAATATGACAAGCCCAAACTTTCCAGTCAAGATGTAACAATTTTTACCGGGTTGTAAAAATATGGAACCTGAGAATTTTGCAGAGTTTAGATGATAAAACTGTACTGAATTATTAAAAAGGGTTAAAAAAGGAAATATCATTCGCTACAAAGCTATAGGAAGTGTATTGTCTCACAGCTGTGAGTCTGGGGACAATGACTGAGTATTGAAACAATACATGTTTTGACTATCTGGCTGACAGGTTCAAAAGTTGAGAATTTTCAAAACTATGATTTTACTGGGATCCCAATCAAAACATAGTAAATGTGTGTATGTTCAGGAAATTGGTGAATCCCCAAATTGCAGGAGCGTTGAAACTGGGTGACCCAGGTGTGAAGTAGGACCCCCACCCCAAGGAGTTGTGATCAGAACTGACCAATCTGGTTGAATTATTATAATTACCCTAAAATATTCAGTCTAATTTTATCCAGCTGAAATATTATGCTTTTTTTTTCTCTTTTTAACTAGTTCCAGACAATTTTCACCGATTTTTGCCTTTATTTGGTTTAATTGGGAGCAAAACATGTTCAAATTGTTTGGTTATCTGGAAAGAGTTCATCGTAAGGATGTGCCTTCCAATCACACCATGTACAGTACAGGATTAGATGAAGAACAGCCTTTGGTATGGTTAACATCAGTTCATTTTCAACTGCACCATGAATTTTCTGCTCCATATTATTATAAAATATCAACTCTCCATTACCCACTTTGTGAAAAACAATTTTGTTACATTGAAGTATTGAATCACACAGAAATGGAGTCCAGTATGTTTTTATTGTAATTTTTTTGTTTAACCTTTTTTTTTTTCTTATAGCAGTCAGAGAGAAAAGCAGTTAACAGGCCGAAAGGCAGTTTGAATGATATTTATTGTCTGATTTGGATATTTTGAATATATTACCCTCTACAAGCATTATCAAAGGCTGATTATTCTCGGATCATCAGGTTTATTGCCACATTATTGCTTATTCAGCTGTGTTCCTTTTTCCTGTTTGTAATTTAATTGAAGAAATTCATCTTAAATTTCATATCAATTAATGTTGAATCATTTCAAATCAATTTTCAATACTAATTTTTCACCTCATTAAAATATTCAAAATAATAATCTCACTAATATTTTAGTCTATTAATGGAATTGTTTGCAAAGCTAATGTGTGATTATGGTCAGATAATAAAAGAAAAATAAAACTAACCATGTATCCTGTAACTGGTGCTTCAGGGGGTGCAATTCTTAGACCTCTGCTCAAAATACCCACCCAATTGGTCAGTCGGGAGCCATGCCACAGTAACATTCTGGGGAAAAAAATAAAAATAAAAAAAAATAATATAAAAAACTTTTATGAATTATTGGCAAAAATGAATGAAGTTTTCATGAAGAAAAATATGTGAATGATTTCAAGAAATTATCCTATCATATAAAATACAATGCAATTTTTATTTTATTGGTCAAGCAGCCTGATCTCTATTTGCTAAGGAGATTCTGTTGTATCAGGAAGCATTACTTAACATGAATAAGCAAACAAGTTTCAGTTACCATAAGCTCATTAGTAACTAGGAGAGATAAGGCTGTTAATACATTCCTTTTTATTTTTTTTGGTACTTTTGATGGTTTAAAGAGTGATGTTTTTTTTTTTTTTAATTATTATTTATATGTGACTATGTTTAACTGCATAGACAAAAATACTAGAAACTATAACCAATGCAATATAGGTGTCAATTTTTTTTTTTGGATGATATGGTTAAACAAGTAAAAAAACAAAATATGAATTATAAATTTACATTAAACAAATCAGAGAAATTTATAAAAAAAAAAAAAAAAAAAAAAAATTTTTAGGAAAATAATTTGTTTTAAAATGTCCCTTGAATTAAATTTTCATAGAGATTTTTAACAATTTATTAATCTTAATGGCTAACTTTGTAAAATTGGAAATGTTCACATTAATCCCACAAATGACATTTTTGCTGTTAGCGATAGATCTACTTTGAAAACTAATGAAACATAAGTTTCAGGGGTTCTAAACTGCAAAGGGCGACCCTAAAGCAACTTTTTTTAATGAGTGAATTTTTCAACAAAAATCAATGTTTTTTTTTGTTTTTTTTTAAAGGATATTTTAGTGATAGAATCATAAGTCAATGGGTTGAAGTAGCTAATATTGGCTTTAAAATATGCTCTAATATCCATTTCATATGCCCCCGAAATTCCCCCATAATTGGTCAATTTCAAAATTTTCCTGGGTGCTTGTAGCACCCAAACGTATGTGCTCATTGAGCTTGTTAGAATCTATTATCTACATTTTGGCAGTTGGATCATTGAATCTATTGTGGCTGGTTGCAAATGGACCCCCATATCTGTTCAAGCTTCAGGGCTTGATGTAGGTTCACCACTGGTTTTAGTAGACAGGTCAAAATTGATTTGTTACCTTGTTAGGCTTTTAATTCCAAACAATACTGTTCCATTTTTTTTTTTCAATGTATGATCTTATTTTTGTAATTTGTATGTGGGAGTCTAATATTTGATATTGTCATTTTTGCTGCCTTCTTTGCAGATTAGGAAGGAAGTTGCCATCACTATTAAAGAATGCTATAACAGTGGTCTTGGGAAACCGATTTTCCTGAAAAAGTGTTTTAAGAGAAAAATTTATGAATTTCAAACGAAAAGAGCACTAGCTGCTCAATCAATGAATGCCAAATATCCCCTGAAAATGAAATGGTTAATATTACCATTATCATGAGTTTTTCTATAATCCAACACTGTTGGTATTTTAATGTATGTGAAGAAATATCTTACCTGTTGCCATAATCAAGGAACTGTGATGTTTCAGCGGACTTGTGACAGCTGAAAACTTCCAATAATTTCATTGAATAACCAGTGTGAGTGGCTGCATGGGTGTTGAGAAGATAGGTTTCCACTAGCTATAAAAAAAAAAAAAAAAAAAAAAAACAGTATTAAATAGAAATAAAATACCAAAGAATTTCATTCTATCATATAATATTACTATAATTCACCAATTGTCTTTCTTTATGTCTGTCAAGTTATGAGTTTAGGAAGGCTAGAGCAAGGGTCATCAAAACTTTTGTGGTTACTAATGGGACCCTGGAGTATGTATTTTTTTTTTTTTTTTAGTATTTTGAAAATTTTATAACTTCTTAAATTATTGGCAAAGATTATATTTACAATCATAATATCAAATCTTTATACATGTCAGGTTAGGTCAAACATTTCTTTATTTTTTTTGTATATTGCAATTTTAAGTGTCTGTAAAAGACAGACCTTGATTTTGAAATCTTCTTTTTGAGGGGATGGGTGGTGGGTCAATATAGCCATATTTGAAATATTTTTATTGAATAAAAATTAAATCCGAATTTTAAATATTAGTAATTATTGTTCTAAACACAAAAATAACTGAAAACATAAAAACATAAGGAAAAAAAAAAAAAAAAAAATTTTTTTTTTTTTAAAGCTTAGTCCAAAACCTACAAAATCTACATTGCTTTCACTATCACTTGGAAAGGAACCAGACATTTCCTTGTTAGATTGAATATTATGATCGAAGAAAAGGTCATTCTCAGTGCCCCATCTGTTGTGTTACTGATACCAAAATTCTTAAATGACTTATCACAATATCATTTACTCCAAACCACATGTTTCCTTCATCTTGTAGAGCTCATATAAAAATCTTCCTGCTCCATCCAACCATTCTGTTCCTTCCTCATTAAAATCTTAAAGAATTTGTTAATAGAAACCTTGATAGGTTGCTGCTGACTTGTTAAAATGCCAAGTATAACAACTAGGTGTATTTTTTTATTTCATTAAATTTATCCTTTATTTGTTTTCCTTTCACTTTCCCACCCCCAGTTTATCTGGACCTGGAACAACTGACAATTTTATGACAACTGACCGTCACTAAAATCAAGGTTTGAGAGTTTCAAAACAACCACCCGCTATTCATAAACAGAGAAAAATAAAATAAATGTATAAATAAATAACTTTCAGGGTCAAGTGGCACTCGAGTTAGAAGGCAGAAAATTCTAGTCATAGGCTTATATAGTTAGGTTGCATTGTAGATAATAGGAGTTGATTGATTTGTTTTTACAGCTTATCAACCCTTTGTAGGTTAATTGACTGTTACCTCACCAAATTCTTTCTAGACTTGTTCTCTCTGCCACTGCATTTTTTTTTGTGGGCATAAAAAACATGAGCACCTACTGTTTTAAAATTGTTATAACTTTCTTTGTATTGTGTGTATAGGTTTTATTTTTTGTATACTAATAAAAGAATGGATGAGTAATATTTTGATGTAATGCATTACATTCTGCATGCATGTTTTGACATTGAAAAAAAAAAAAGAAACAAAAAATAAAAAACAAATACATTAACAATTTAATATACTTTAACTTTCATTACTCCTTGTGGAGTTCTGGGGTGCAGTCTACCTTGTAGCTTATCAGACAGTGGAACCTCTGGAAGTAAGGGTATGGGCAGAGTGCCACATTACACTTTTTGCACAGGAACTGGTTCTGGTGGTGCTTCTTATCTCTGAACAAACACCACAATCTGGATAAGATGGCCTGCCACATTTCAGGCAGATGTTTACAAAGTGGTATCCTGTTAACACCAACCTTTCTGGGGTAGGCGGGTCTTCAGTCCTACTCCTTCAGAACATATCTGACTGGTAGCCTTCCAGCAGAGAATGTACAGCCTAAACTTTTCAGAATTGACTTGGCGAGCCGATGTTGTTTTACATATGACCAGGGCATTGCAGAAGCAGAGATAAAAAAAAATTTCCACCACCTGGTACATTGGTACAGCACCATGTAGCACGTTAGCTGCTTGTCAGCTCTGTCTACTCCCTCATGTACTGAGAGAAGGACTGCACAGCACAAGGCTTCTACACAATCCTGGTATGACTTTCATGACATTTTGATCAAATTTCTTTTCTGAAGGTCTCAGCTGTGTAAGCAGCTGTCATCAAATTTACTGGCCTTCTAACATACCAGGAAATATATAATACTAGCTTAAAAGCTGCCCTATCAGGCAGCATTTAAGCTAACTCCTGGAGGGTGGTGATCTTGATTGGGCCTTTGGCCCCACAATAACACTTCATGCATTGAGTACATATTAAATTTTATTAAACTTGAATAATATTTTTCAAACAAAAACAATGATATAATTTATCTATTTGAAAATTATTGCAAAACTGCATGATAAACAACATTTTTGTTTTTTTCCATTTGGGGTCAGTACAAATAGCTTGTTTCAATTCCCAAACCCTGAATAACCAATAAAGAGCTGGCCATGGTCTTCATCTGCCCTGTGATCTAAAACAAACACAACATGGGCAGGGTGGGATTGAGGATCAGGGCAACCAACTCCAAGGCTGGCCATAAGGATCAGCCATGGAGTTGATCGAGGCTGGGATTGTGACATCATATTGGTTATTCTTTTGATGTTGCAAATAGGAGTTTCATTCTAGTTCAAATCCAATGGAAGTTTGAAGTTACTGTGTACTGCTCTGGGTTTTGCTGTTTTCATTTCATTTTCAGTTCACATGTAGTGTGCTGCATGCTCTTGTTCAGTATTGGCCTAAGTGTTGAAACAATGCAGGGTTTGAAAAAAAAAAAAAAAATTGTCCATGTAAATTACATGACCTCTGTTTTGTATATACCCTGACAGGGAGGACACAACTTTGTGAGCAATACCAACTGTCCTTGGTGCCTGAGCTGTTTCATAGCCTAAGTACAGTAGCCAATTGTAGATGTAGCTGTTTTTTGTGTTGGCTAGTCCCCAGGTTTTCAGACCCACTTGATTGGTTTTGCTGGCATGTACATCAGTAAAATGGTCCTGCTTTTGAAAGGAATAATACTTTCATCCACTGAAAGTTCCTTTCCAGGATAACAGTATTTCAATTTTTAAGTTTTTTTCTGAAAATGGCCGGATCTTGAATGTCCTATCATGTTCAGGGTGGTTCCTTGGTTTTGCATTTGAGTTATTCGAAAGATGAAAAAAAAAAAATGACAAGATCCTTAAAACCTATCTTGTGGCATGATGTGTCTGAAACCTAGCATTTGAATAAATTCATCAGTTGAGCAGTATAATTCAAATGATGGCTGCTTTGTGAGTCTATGAAGAAGCAAAATGGCTAAGACCTTTATTTTGTCAAAAGTGACATCCTTCTACATGTTTACATATGAGTAGACACTTATATTTGTTCCTCTACTTTCCTTCACCTGACTAGCATATTTGTCTTGTTGACAAAGAAAAATATTATTTCATCGTTTATGAATAGACTTGGGCTGTAAATGAGATAAAAACAGGGAGAACAAGGCGACAAGCAGAATGGTTACTGTTGTGTCAAACATGCTACACTCAGTGGAGTGTTTGAGAGGAAACAGATTTCGGGAATTGTTTGCAAGAAAAGAAACAAAAAGTTTACAACCTTTTATCAATTTGAGATTCCAAAAAGAGAAAATTGGCCAAATTTTAGATGGACTTCAACACTTGAATGTAGATGGAATCTAGCAAGGTAAAAAGTGTTGGATATGTTTAACTTTTGAGTCTGCAAAAAAATAGTGTGTCAAAAGGATGGTTATTCCCTTGACACTGCTATTACTTAATATATCCCAGAAAGGGATATATTTGAACAAAGTAGCTAAATGGTTTTGGCTACTATAACCAAGTAGAATAGGGTAGCAGTAATTGACTGGTACGCATTGTAGTCACAGGTAAGAAGTGTAGTCCAATGGGCGTTGTTATAGACTTAGTTCCCAGACTAAGGCACTTCACACTGTCATACCTACACGTCTGTTGGTATTTATGACGGACGCCAGCCAATCATATTCCAGTGAGGGGGAACACTGGCATATGCATATTCCATTATATCATTACTGTATGCACTTTTTACTCCCTTGGCAATGTTTATTTACAAGATTGTAAAAATATGAGAACCAAATTTAATGTGATATTTATCATTTACCATTTTATAAAGAAATAAATTGGAAAAGAAATCTTTTTATACAAAAATTACAAATTAATCAAAATATGTAAACCAACTACAATGCAATATTTATCACTTACATTTTATAAATAGCTACAGAACAAGAAAATTTGAATAAACATGACAAAAACAAATTAAAATATTTGGCTCAGAGGAAGAGATGATCACAACCTATTTTAGTGAATTTATGTGGCAAGAGCAATTGAAAGAAATATCCTGAAAATGAATCTTTCAAGAATTTATAATTAGTCATCATCCTTTGACCTCCCTATGGTTGGTCGGAACTCCATTGACAATCCCATTCCACACTTTTCAGTCCTGCATTGCTGTCCCTAGATCACCAATGTCCAACCTTGATGATACTATTTCTTTGTCTGCTCAGTGGAAGTGGCTGGCAAACTGTAATTTTTTTTTGTTTGAGCTTGAGAGAGATTGATCTCAGTTCTCTGTAAATTGTGTTAAGTGTTGCATGGGATCTCCAACTGATTTTTCTAACTAGATTTGTATATGTTCCATCCAGTTGTCTTTCAAGTAGATAATGTCCAAGTTTCTGATCCATACAGTAGGAGTGGTTCAATCAATGTTCGAAACGTTTAGACTTTTAAGGAGGATGGAAGGTTAATAATTACAGTTACTAGTCATTATGTTTTTATTTAAATTTTCTTATACAGACATTTTTATAAATTTATAGATAAAAAATAGTCTTTTCGTATTTTTTTTTATAAAGTGGTGAATAATAAATTTTTCATTATAGTTGGTTCAAATATTTTTGTAATCTTGTAAATATAAAATTATTCTTGTAAATAAGCAATCTTATAAATAGTATCTGTCTATATTTCTGAGATGAGGTATTATGTACACTATTTACATTATTCGGACACATGGCACAGTGGATAAAGGCGTTAGTTAGATCCAGTGACAGGGCCCAAAGAGTGTGAGTTCAATACCTGGTTAAGGCAGTGGAGAACTTGGAGTGGGGAATTAACAAGAGATAACTGACAACTGACATCCATTAAAGTATGGCACGTGGAACTAGAACAGTCTACCCGAGTGAGCAAAATAAAGGTTTTAGTTTGATATTCCAACCACCTGAAGAAAGTGTTGTGGAGGGATTTCACAGTGGAGGCTTGTATTTGTACTAAGTCGATCCTAAAATAGGTTCGATGTACAAAATGTTAGGAACTTGATATAATAGGTATAACGCAGAGTAATCTAGTTGTGGTCGCTGTTACTTTAGTATTCGACTAACTCTCATACGGCATCGACTGACTCACTGAGCGACTCCTACTTATTATAGGTGGGAGAGTCTATTAACTATAGAATAGGTGTTTTCCACTATAACAGAAAGCTGGAGTATACAATGGCCTAAATGTTGTAATAAATATGGCAACAACGATGAAGACAATAGTTCGAATAATGTAAATAGTGCTTATAAATAGTGTTTAAAATTTTTGTTGTCAATTCTCAAGAATAAAGAAAATGTATAAATCCACTTTCATATGTTTGGGTTTTATGAAAATTCTAATCACTGCTTTTTAAAACAATAAATATTGTTGAGGGATTCAAAAGTGTATACAGTAATAGCAGTGTCAAGGGAATAACTGTCCTTTTGACACACTGTCCCTCCACCTCAAAACTTCTGTTTGGTAATGTTCAAACAAAATTATGATGTGTAACCTGGACAAAGAGCTACTGGATCAATGCTATGATGAGCAATTAATTTGTCATATTGGGATTAAAAAAAAAAAAAAAATAATCTCCTGAGAAAGAAAATTAGGAATGGAAAGTTATGTGGTTTAATCTCAAACTATCAATTATTTTATTCCAGACAATAATCCTTGTCTGCTAAGAAATTTCAAGACAAAGCCTTTTAGAATAGAATACCATTTTTATGATTCTAAGTGCTTTTACTTGGCACAAGTGCAAGCCATTGACAGTAAATTTTGTTACAAATAAGTTCATCACTAGCAGGACCTTGCAGAACATCAGATTACTTTTTGATTTTTAGCACACTCAGTCAGTTATGTGCCATATGTGATACACGCTTAGACGTTCATGTATCTTTCGATACATGACTGACGAGGCAGATTTTTTCACCACAGTAGGTTGCCATTTCTTTCTGTGGTAGACCAGTTGCCATCAAAAATATAGAACCCGGTCTGCCCTGCTATTTACCCATTGCTGTTGGGGGGGGGTTGAGAAGAGGATTCATACCTTTCCCAAGGATATTAGCATGTAAGTGAATGTAATGGATTTAACTGGAATTCAAACTCAACTCTCAGATTCCTCAATCCGAGCTGTTATCCATTACACCACCATGACTCCCTTTGGCACACTACATTCTTCATAACATTATATCCACAGTGACAGAACAAATGTTTTGCTCTGCAAACCAAGACAACTACAGAGTATTTTAATGCTGTTTGAATAAAATAATAAGGGATAAAAATTACTATAAAAAGAGTAAATGTAGATTTCATGTGATTCAAAGACATGCATGTGGAACCCTGTTAAAATTTGGGTAAAAAATTTTAATAGATTTAAGTAATATCTCTGAAGCTCAAAATTGACTCATTTTTGTGCAAACCATTGGCTCCAGATTTGAATTTCCCCATTCACATATATTAACCAATCAGCACTGAATGCTTTGAAAAACAAAAACACCTATGTTTATCGTCTGCTACGAAATTTAAGAGATCGCTCCAGAAAATGATCAACAATATTTTCCCTCCTAAAAATAGATATTGAAAAAATTGGGAAAAATATTTATTAACCAATAAATTCTGAGTTTACTAAACTAATTTTTAGCTTCTTTGAGCCTATCTATTTCTTATAAATATTTATGGTGTTAAGTTAGTATTCAGATTTTCTGTAAACCTTTGACCAGGGTTGGTTGTTCTTGTGGACAAGCTGAATTCTCAAAACTTTTGTATAATTTGTTACTCAACATTTCAAATATTTTATTTCAGTAACTTCTTACAAGGCCTAGCAATTTTAAAGTAAATTAATCACACATAAAACATAGTTTTGTAAAGAAAATGTCAGTAGACTCTCTAATTCAGCTTTGCTGACTACTAGAAAATTACTAAATTACACACAATCATAACGTAAATATGTGACTCTCCTTATGTAGACATGATGTTTCTTCAAGTATACTAATGCAATTGATTTGGTTGCAAAGAAAAACAATATTCTTGTGTGAATTTGTTTTGCAAGGATCTTTGTAATTTGCTTTTTTCAATTTGAAAGAAAATATACTCAGTAAAAGTTAATTAAATTTGTAGAGCCGTATTTGTTTCACTTTTCACGCTAATTCTTCTACATGCATCTTCAAACAGTAAAAGAAGACTGAAAAATTCTTACCTTATATTCGGTACTGTTTTGGGACAGAGATTCTATTTCACACTCTAGTGATTTGTACGTTCGATCAATTGGGTTTTCTGTGATATCTCCTTGCTTCAGGATGTTGATAGCAATCTCAATATCACCTAAGGCCTGCAATCAATCACAAAGTAAAATATATTAACATACATACAAGATAAGACACAACAGAGATTAATTTATTCTGATGATCATATGTTCTGTAAGGAGAAGGATTTCTTTTTAATCAGCTTCCATCTTACAGTTAATAGAAGTTATATAAACATAATGAGAGAAAAGATATTTGAGAGGCAAACATGGTTTCAGAGGCTAAGACACAAATATATTTTCTTTTAAGCAATAAGTGTTGATTCCAATCAAAAATAGCCACTAAAAATTCCACCTCCCTAAATTTATAGACAAATCCTACAGATGCATGCTGGGATTTCTTTTTAGTCAATAAAATGGACATTTCTTGGTCTAACACGCACACTTTTCCTTGTCAAAGGCTATAACCACTTGACTGTATCCCTTTTGCATATAAACACTGTTTCTATTTTGTTTTAATTTTACTTTTTGTTTTATAGTTGCTTTGCTTTACCTTGCATTACATTGTTCATTTTTTGTATTATTTTGCTCTCTTCTTATTTTATTACTGTTACTGAGAATTTTGTCAATTCCACTTAAAAATGCCTGCTTCTTCAACAATAAGGAACAATCATTCTTAGCAGATATGCTCAAAATGCATTTTGGAAGCTAAGATCCAAAGTATTCAGACATTTTCTTCTACACAATAAAGAACAATTGCGCAGTGAACATGCTCAAAATATATTTTGTTCAGCTACGGGTTAAATAGCATGGCAGACTTGGCTATTTTGTTTTGTACAGCAATCAGTTTAGAAGGAAAACTCTTATGGCAAAATTCTCATCAGTCTTTGTGCAACCTCAGGTAAAGGAAAGTCTAAAATGTAGACACTACACAAATTTAGATTGGATCTTGAAGGTGGATGGATGACATACTGCGTCACCTTCCAGCAAGTCTGCAGTGAAACCTTTACCAAGCTGTATGGGATTATCTTTTACTTTAGACTAATGGCAAGGCAGTGAAGATCTTGATCTATGTGGAACACATGTTTTCCATAGCTCTGTAGTGGTCTATCTTACACTATCACCTGTGACAGACGGATGCCAACTCAACATACTTCAAGAAGAGATTTATTCACAAAATACACAGAAAGGTTTTTGGCTATTAATCACTCAAATAATTTCTCACAACCAAAAATATATTTTGGTTTTAACCCTTTAGCATTCAACATACTCAAACCCTCTCTGTAAATATTGGCTTTCAAAGTCTCACTGTTTTCCTACCCTATCAAAGCATACATTATGACTTTTTACCCAACAACCTGTTATATGGCATAACCACAATCTGGCACTGTCAAAGGTGCGACCTAAGTATTTGGAGAATTTGAAAAATTAAGCAACTAACCAAATGTCTTTTTTCATCTATCTCCTTCAAACTTGTACTCTTGTGAGTCAATAAGATTGATTGCTCACAAAAGGTTAAGGCCAAAGTTCACACTACATTCAAATTCCTTAGCTTTTGTATAGTATCAAAGAGAAACACAGAGATAACAAAGAAGACATCTCATTATAATCATAATTCATCATTGTCATATCACCTCTTTTCTACTGACTTTTTCCACACTACCTAATCCAGCATCACGACTAGTAGTCATGTGCTATGTGTGATACACGCTTAAGTGATCATGTATGTTTCAATACATGGCTGACGAGGCAGATTTTTTCCTGCAGTAGGTTGCCATCCAAGTCTATAGAACCCAGTCTGTCCTTCTATTTACTCATAGCTTAGGAGAAGAAGAGGATTCATTACCTTTCCAAAGGTGTATTAGCACATAAGTGAATGTAATGGATTTGACTGGAATTCGAACTTGGCTCTCCGATTTGTCAATCTGAGCTGCTACTCATTAGCCTCCCTGACTAGCAGGGTAACTCAATCTACTTAGAGTTATCTACTAGGTCATGTACCCCACAGGACAATTCCATAAGCCATAACCCTGGTTCATTCAACAAGCTCAAACCTGCTCAGTAAATATTGGCTCTCAAAGTCTCACTGTTTGTACCATTATCAGTGGTGCTCAGCAGCTCCGTTTGCATTTCATTTATGCTACAGCGAGTTTGGGAGTTTTGAATGCTAAAGGGTTAAATAACTTACAAAAGGCTTATAAACCATTAAAAAAAAAAAAAAAAAAAAAAAAAAATTATGTATATGAAGAGATATTTAAAAGTTTTGGGTGGAATTCCCTTCTCAAAACCTTACCAAATATTGGAATTTTATCTAAACTTTTTCTTGGCAATGCAGAGAACGTTTCAGAACTCCCTTTGATAAATAGCTAATTATATTTTCAGTTACTTGTCTAAATAATGCGATAATGAATGCATCTAATTTCTACTTAATAGTGAAAAAACCGCAATGGTCTGATGTTATAAAGGGAAGTAACTCTTACCTCAAGAAGTTGAATCTTCTGCTTGACAGTTTGACTGTCACGAATAAGAGGAGGTTTCTTCATCCTGCAAACATTTGGAGTGGAAAAAAAAATTTAGAAAATTAATTTTTAATTATTGATGTCAGATACAATTTTGAAGTAACTTCCCTGACAAGATTCTTTGTTCTCTTAATCGGGTTACAAATTCTATACTATACAAATGCTTGTATATAGGCAGACTTATTTGTTAATTGAATCTTTCACAAATGATTTGATTCTGGCATTTTTAAGGTTTCATTTATTGCAAAAATATCTAAACATAAGAAAACAAGGATAATAATCTTATTTATGGGTCTATTATGTGCTGGCTGTTGCCTTATTGAACCAAATTAAATAAAGTATGTATGTGTGTCTATGCACGTGTGTGTGTTATGAATATGTGTGAGTAATTTTTTTTTTTTACAGTGACAGTTGGAACTGGAGAGAATCATCCCATGGGCTCTTTATTTATATATCTTGTTGAACAAAGAAAACCTGTTTGTAAATTATGGTTTGGCTTCTGATTGGCTTGTAAGACTGTGACATCATATCCTTCTTGGAAACAGATCATGTTTCTGATTGGCTTGTGGAACTATGACTTTAGGACCTAACAAATTTTATTTTGTTAGTATATTCCAAATTTGTCTATTTTTGCAATGAGGAAACTTGCTTGAATTTTCTAGTTTTAGTCATTACTACAGTTCCAATTCAGTTTTAGAAAACAACAAAGGAACTAAGTCAAGCACTATTAAGAAATCATACAATGTTTGATATTATTTTTTTATTTTTATTATTATTATTATTATTCAGTTGAACTAGCTCAGACATTCAGGTGTCTCTCACACCATCATGGCTCTGCATCAAGGTTAAAAAGTCATTAGGGTGGCATTCTGTGTCATAACAGTTGATCAATGTTGGTGATTGCTAGACGACTAATCTATCTTGCACCATGGTTAGGTGTCAAGAGCAATAAATCACTCACAAGTTCTTATTTTGCTTACCAGAAGTGTCCTGCAAAAGGCATTCTGCGTCCACATATGATTGTAGAAATATCAGGTATGGATCAAATAAAGCTGTGATTTAATTGGATGTTGTCTTCAAGAGAGGTTAAATATAACTATCAGCATCATAGTGTAGGTTCCATCAAACTCACTCTAAGGTTTTAGTTCATGTCAAAGCAGTGGCACCATATATTAATACCGTCTCTACAGTGGTGTGAAAGAATCTGTCTGGTAGATCAGAATTTCAGATTACATCCATTTTATTCAAGGCTGCCCAGGCTATGCAAATTTTCACCTCCTTTTCAGTAGAATTTATTTCGCTTCTTAGGCATGCAAAAGAGTCGAGAGATTTTATTAATTCACCTGAGAGAGTTTGTATTGAGCTTTGCTGGCTGAAACTTATGAATTTTGTTTTAGAGGCATTGGCATTAGTCCAAGATCGTTAACAACATTTTCTAGATTATGCTGGAGAACTGTGGCATTGGCAATGGGGTCTGCAAGGATAGCTAGGTCATCTGCATAATCAATACCAGTCAACTTTGTTTTGCAGAATATCGTTTTGAGAGTCTTGTTGATAAAGTTAAATCTAGATTTTTGGGGGGCTTCATGTTAATTCTCAGGATATTTTCCGTTTTAATGATTTAAAACGAAACTATGCGAAAACTGAATTCATCTTATAGATAAAAAACCCAAAACTCCTCACCCAGAAAATATAGCCAATACAATGGCAAAATTACTTTATATATATATATATATATATATATATATATATATATATATATATATATATATATATATATATTCTAGTTAATGTCCAGGCTATGACACAATACATTAACGCCACCTTTACAGTGTCTCGAAAGAAACTCAGTTGGATTTTGTCTAGTAAATCAGATTTCCAGATTATATCCATTGTATTCAAGGCTGCCCAGGTTTTAGCTATGCGAATTTTCACCTCCTTTTCAGTAGAATTTATTTTGCTTCTTAGGCATGTAAAAGATTCAACAGATATTATTGATTCACCTAAGACAGTTTGTATTGAGCTTTACTGGCTGAAACTTATGAATTTTGTTTTAGAGGCATTGACAGAGCCCCAAATTGTTAGAAGCATTTTTTAGATTATTTACGAGAAATATGGCATTGGTGATGGGGTCTGCATTGATAGCTGGGTCGCATTGACAAATATCACGATCAAACATAAGCCTTGTATTAAATTATGTAAGTCAGCCAAACTGGATTTGTTTGCTTACCAAACAGTTCCTGGTATCATCATAAATACTGCATAGATATTTGTGTAATGGGTTTATCTGTGTGTGTGTGTGTGTGTGTGTGTGTGTGTGTGTGTGTGTATATATATATATATCTCAACAGATTTTCACGTGGAAAGTTTCTGGGAAGTGGAAGGGGAAAAAACTCCTTTTTTTCATTTGAATTGCGTAAGTGAGGAAGGTTAACAAGTAGATTGGATACGATGTGGTTAACAACAAAAACAGTTCAAAGAATTCTTTGCCATTCAGGAGTTAAGACGGAAAGATACCACTTTAGAATCAATTCTAAATAAAATGAATGACTGAAAATGAAGACTTACCCAAAAGTATGTGGGATTCTGGTATAGAATTCATCACAGGCTGCAGTCAAGTTTGGTCCAAAATTATTTGATTGGATACAGTTGACAATTTTTTTCAAGGCTATATAACCAGCATTTATCTGCTCGACAGTCAAACGTCCTTAAACAATAAATAAATATAAAACAATATAAAATTCTACAGTCAAATGGAGGTCAATCAAACTTCTTGTAAATATATTTCAATATCAATACTTAATATTAATAATTAAATAATTAATAGAGAAAATACATTTTTTAAAAAATCTATTTTAATACCATAGTATTTATCTTCCTCGCTACATAAGGTATTTGTGGAAAACCATTACAAAATTGTAGAAAAATGCAATACATTACTTAAACTCAAGAAATAACTCATTTTTGTATACAAATGGCTCTGAATTTGAATTTCTATATTCATATATATTAACAGTCAGTAAGGTTATGAGATGCATGGTATCCTTTGAATTCACAGACAATGAAGATTTGTTGTTTGCTATGAAATTTTGGAAGATCACTTCAGAATATGATCAAAAATATGTTTCCCTCCTTAAATTAGATATTTAAAAATTGGGGAAATATTTATTAACCAATAAACTTGAGATTAACAAATCTAATTTTTTTTTTTTCTGGAGCCGACATTTTGTTATAAGAGTAATTAATTTTTAGTTCGCTAAACCTTTACCACACAAGAGGTGAAAACTGTTGCTGTAGAATTCGCTCCTTTGTTACTCTAGGCATATTATATCAACTTGAGACAATTGCTATAAATAAACACTTGTCAACTGTTATGTTTGGTATTTTAAGCTGGAAATTGCTTGCTACTGCTTTAGAATGGGGCTAAAATTTTGAATTCTTCTAGACTCTACATGAGGCATAACATCGATTAAACACATGCAAATTTTTTCGCAATTTTTTATAAACAAAGATGGCCACATCATCATCCAATGAAGCCTTTATTCAGGAGTTTTTCTTAGACTCTGATGATGGTTTGAAAACCTTTATCTAAGTGGATATTGATGGTGAAGTGGTCAAAAATGATAACCACGTGTCACTACGTGGAGGAAAACATTGAGGACCACTAGCGGCTACCATCATCCATGGCCGACTTTTTATGGAGCTACTGGCGACTATCGATATACCTGATAGCCTTTCTGAAAGTGAATTATTTTGTCTATTTATAAACGATGAAATAACTATTTGTTAATGAGACAAATAAATATGCTAGTCAGGTGAAAGAAAGATAAAACAAATGCTGGTGTCTTCTCATACGTGAACATGAAGCACATCACTTTTTTTTATGAAATGAGAACCTTCTTAGCCATTTTGCTTCTTATTGCATCCCAGGACTCCACAAGAAGTAATAAAAGTTAGAGTATGTTAAATTGTTAATGTATTTGTTTATTTTTATATTTTTATTTTGAGTTTCCTTTTTTTTTTTTTGTTTTCAACGTCAAAACATACATGCAAAATGTAATGCATTACATCAAAATATTACTCATCCATTCTTTTATTAGTATACAAAAAAATAAAATCTATGCAAAAAGTCATAACAATTTTAAAACAGGTTTTTGTTTTTGCAGTCTCAGAAAAAAAAAAATTAACAGTGGCAGAGGGAACAATTCTACAAAGAAATTAGTGTCGTAAAGATTAAAGTAGTGTGGAAAGTCGACATCTTGATCATTTTCTTATAGAGTTACATTTGCTACCATTTTACTTGTTGCCTTTAGAAAGTTTACAGTGGCATGGTTACTGTTATTTGGTACAGTTCTTTGCAATTCTGTAGCACCAATCTACAAGGCACGAAGAAGGACGGTTCTTGCTTTGACCTATAGGCTTCATTTCTTAATCATTGATCTGAAAAAGCAGTTGTATAGAACTGACAGTCTAGATATTTCTGAACAAGTTTGTTGCCATGCATGACAACCATCATAATGTGATCTGACGAGGCTATTTGAGAACATGATAAGTATAAAAATAAAAAAGAATACACACACACACACAGTAGGGCAAGTTGATTTTGGAACCATGGTATTGCACTCAATTTAAAAGTTGGGGTTTAACATGATAAATAATGATGCAAAATATTTTTTTTCAAATCATTACATTTTTTTCAGGAAACAAGTTTAAAAATTAAATTTAAGCTCAAAATTGCAGCATCGGAATTTCATTCTGGTGATCAATAAAAGCCTTATAGCACAGCCTTATAAAATTTATAATTTACTGAAGCTTTACAAATTTTATATAGACAAGATGCACAAGCATATTACTAAATCATTGTGCCATCAAATAAGACCTTCATTTACCTCAAAGGGAATTTATACTGAATAATTTAGATAAATTATAATGTAATATGTTATACAGTGCAGTAGTTTGATTTTCAAGTATTATATACTTTTATCTCTTTTTGTTTTTATTAATTATGATCTAACAAATCTTATTCATTGAGAAGACATTTTTGTTTTTTTTAACATGATTTTTACTTATACAGTAAAAGGAAATTGTATATTTTGCTTGGGATGATTCATAATTAGAATTCTGGTTTGAATATATTTTCCATTCAATGTATCTAATACAAAAGATTAACTTTATTTGGATTTATTCTTGAAATAATAAAATTTTGTAGTCAGTTTGTAAGCAAAAAAACCCTGTGTAAATTTGGTATTTCTATATATTTTTTCAGATGATCTTTAAAACTAAATGCTCAAAAATTGGTAAAAGCTATGATTCTAATTTTTGGTGGTAGGTCTTATCACATAAAACCTCAGCTTTCACACTGAGTGCAATGTCGATTTTGTAAAAAAGTGAAAAAAATTAACCTACCCTAACACACAATTGTACAAAGAAATATTTGACTCTGAAATTGTTTGCATTATTTTTTCCGAGTAATTTGATGATATTTATTTACTGAGTAAAACAATTCAAATTTAATTGATCATAAATAAGACAGAATTAATATTGTTGGTTCAACCAAGATAAAAAAAAAAAAAAAAAATCTTTTCATCACCCACTTATAAACACACAATATTTTTGATTCATTTTATGTGGTTGTCAGTAAATGGAAAAACTCAAGTTGCAAACTACTAATTGGAGACCCCAAAATCAATCGTATAAAAATTTAAATATCTGGGAAGCGTTTTAACAGTGGATGGAAAATGTGACACCTAAATCCAAAAGGCGCATTGAAACAGTGAAAGTTGCTTTCTAAAAGCTAAGCAAAGTATAAAGAAACAGGAAAATTTTGTTAGAAACAAAGAAAAGAGTACTGGACTGTTATGTAATATCAATCCTCCTATATGGCAGATGGACAATCTCTTCCCAGAGAAAAATGTGGTTCTACAGAAGGATGCTGAGGATACCAGGGACTGAATATGTGAGCAATGATGAAGTTTTAAGGAAACTGGAAACAAAAAGGATGATTATACATAGAATCAAAAGAATAGAATACATAATAAGGAAAGAGGGCTTGGAAAATTTGATACTCACAGTACATGTTGAAGGCAAGAAGAGTAGACGAAAGCAGTGCATAAGCTGCCTAATTGATTATACTTGGCAGAACAGGGATCAGAAGAGATAGCAAAAAGGCAAACATTATTCAGAGCTACAAAGGACAGGAAGTTGTGGAGAACCATGATCACACATGTCCTGAAGGGATACGAGACTGAAGGTGAATAAATGATTATATAAACTATAAACACTAACCTAATGGAGCTTTCTTTGCATCATATTTCATCTCAATAACTGTTTCCTTCATTGACTGTATGTCAGAGATGAGCTTAATTAATTTCTGAAATTAGAACATATATATATATATATATATAAAGCATTTAAAGAAATACATTTTTAAACAGTTAATAAAAGAGAATTGTTGTCTAAAATTCTGAGGTATTTTCTTTTATCCTTGAAAATGATTAAATTTTAGGTAACCTCTTCCTAAAAAATTGGATGCCATGCTTTTCATGACTGAGCCAATTGTAGAGAAGACACAAGCAATGATGATGCAGCCAGCTGCTGCCAACCAGATCTGTTTTTCGCCTCATGAAAAAGCATTGGAGTGTCCATCCTAGTCCATTCTTCGATGTTGGCTCTCCAGCTTTTGGATTGCCTCCCCCTACGTCTACCCTCTTCCAACATACCTTGAAGGGACCATCTTGGGTAGGGTATTGTAGTGTATGACATGTCCAAGCCACAACAGCTTTCTCCTTTTTGCTGTTGCTAAGGGGAGCTCCTGGGGGCCTACCAGTTGTGTTACTTGGACCTGTACAAAGTCATTTGACTTGTGTTCTCTCCAGGAAATCCCGAGAAGCTATCTGAAGCATTTTGCTTCAAATGTTTGGACTCTCTTGGAGGTTTCTGCTATCAGAGTCCAGCTTTCACACCCATAGAGCGGTATGGACTGCACCAGGGACTTGTAGAACTTCATCTTGGTTGGAAAGATGATGTTTTTGCTCTCCCAAATCTTATTGCTTACCATTGCTGATATTGCCATAGCCAGTCTCTGTTGAAGCCACACTTTCCAGAAAAACTGAACAGAGAAATGGTGCACAATATGTAACAAAATTTACCAAAGAGTCCTCCTCAGGTTTGAATTCAAGGTTCATTTGATTATATATAAATTAAATATAAATCATTTGAATCTTTATAAGAGAAAAACAAATAAGTAAGCAAATATTTACCTGCACGTTCTGAGTCAATTTAGAGTCAGGAACTTCTGTTGGTTCTTTCTTCAAGGCAACAGAATCGACATCATCCTTACTCTATGAAAATAAAGTGTACAACAAATATAGAAATTCTAAATGGCTTAATTCAAACACCAATATTTCACATAACATCAATTTTTCATATTTGCCATACAAATTTTGTACTCACATTAATTATTGTAACAATATTTATACAAATATATTTTAGGATTTTCATATATGAATGAATTTAATATAAAAACAAGATGAGTATTATGTCCCTCAATGAGACTTTCTGAGTCTGTTTTGATTTTGTCAAAATTGGAATTAAATTAAATCCTGAGAGTAGTAGAGAATTTTTAAAAAGTTTGTTCAGTCAATAGTGATCTTATTTCTTTTTTTTAAAATCAATTTCACAGCTGAAAATGCTTGTTCACTGTTCACATCTGTATGTTGTTGTAAAAATGACACGTGTACTTCTGAGAATTTTTTTTTTTTTAATTCTGGAAAATATTCGCAGGATAATGATTAATGGTGAAAATGGGTTTTAGAAATTACAAGCAGGTAGTTATTTTCTCATTTTTATACTGCTCATAAATTTCATTTTTTTATGATCATTTTTTCTGCTTTTCTCTTGTTTGCTTTCTTTTGAATTTTGATGTGGAAACTGAATTTTTAAAAAATATGATAAAATTTTCAAAAGTTCAAATACTGACGAAAAACAAATAAAACAGAACTTAGAAATGTCAAGTGTTTTTTTGATTGGCAAAAATCACAGGGATCACCACATGTGATCAGGCATGGTGTCACTTTTTGCACATTTTAGTCATCCCTGACATAATTACATAGGATTTCAAGAAAGTTAATGAAATAAAGAAAGAAAAATAACAGCTCAATAAGCTTGATTTTAATATCAGACAAAACTGATTTAGTTTGGTTGATTTTAGAGTGGTTCTGTGACACCAAATAGAAGGTCAGACTGTATTGAAAAAAAGATCTTTTGGATTATTTCTAGGTATTATTTTTAATTTATTAAACTAAGTAAACTAAAATGTAAACTTAAACTAAATATAAGGATTTTATTTGACAAAATATTTATAAACAGAATTAAAAATATCATTAGTTTCTCAAAATTCTTAAATTTAATAATGCCCCAAAATATTCTTATGGCTGTGAAAGTCGAGGTAAACTACAGATGCAAAGTGATGTAATTTAATACCTAATAAAAAAAAGTAAGTAAATGTCGGTATTGTTGCTTAAGTTTTATTTTCTTTATATATATATATATATATATATATATATATATATATTTTGTAATTATTATTTAATTTTATTTACTTTTCACAGTATTTAGTATTGTTGAAGTTATCTCTAACATTTTTTGTCAAGATTTACAAACTGTTCTCCCTACTGTGTTTATATTTAGTGCTATCACTGTGCATTTTTTTTTTTACTAGAATGAAATATTTACAAAAACTTTAAAAAAAATAAAAAACAAAACAATATTGCATTTTTAAAAATAAGTACTTGTCATTTTATTTGTTGTAATCTAGAAAACTTTACTGAATGAAGAATAACCAAAACGGAGGTTGAAAATGAAATGGTAATCTTTATAACATCAACAAAATACAATACTCGCCAGCAGCGTGAAGTAGGTAAACCACTGCTAGTGGTGAATTACTTAGACAACATATTACCCCCACTTACAAAAGTGTCCAACATATTTATGAAGATTGGGACAGACACATTAGTGTTCATAGATATGGTATATAACAATTTATTAAATTGTTTTTAAAATAGTGGGAGTATTTTGTGTATTAAATAATAAAACTTAATTTAAAAAAATAAAAAAAAATAAAAAAGAAACTTTATTTTACTAAGCTACACATCTTAGTAAAACCAACTGTACTTTGTACCTCCTTTATGTGTTTGTACTTCTCCCCAAAATTTGGTTTTGATCAGTCAATGTATGGCTATTTTAGAGGGTATGATGGATAGACGGACTAACGGAAATCACAGAATTTCATATATAATTTTATTAATGTTGGTAAAGAAAAGTTTTCCTTTTGTCTTTATTCCTAGGTATTATTTTATTATTAGTAAAACAAAAAAACAGATGACAAAATTATTTAAATGATTTGAAAAAAAAAAAAAAACTCTTTTTTTTCTGATACGTTGATTGAAATCCTTATAGGCTCTATTAGAGCCAGCATGACAATTGTCATTTTCAATCCTGTATCAAAGAAATTTTACCTGGGTGCTATAATCCATGTGAATAAGATCATATTTTCCAGGAACTTTCTGGAAATTCTGTCTTTCACTCCATTCATTTTTAGTTTTATCATGAAACCTGAAATTAAAAAATAAAATAAGAAATACACCAGCTTATCAAGAATGAATCGACTTGAAATACTGGCAAGTTACATGTTAAGAATTTTACTTTTTAATAAAAGGAATTTGCCAACTGATAACTTCAAACATGATAAATTTTTGAATTATTGTCAAAATGTAAGATTAAATAAATAAAAAATGCCAACAACCTCCTTTTTTTTGTAATGATTAGTGTTTTTGTTAGCTTTTTATTATAATCAAGGAAATTCAGTTGCTAAAAAATACTATATATATATATATATATATATATATATATATATATATATATATGAGTTTTGTAATGCAAAAAAAAAAAAAAAAAAAAAAAAAAAAAAAAAAAAGGTGTGGGGAGTGCACTATACACATGTAAACTTTTTTGAAGAGGTTAAAAATCCTGCATTTTCAGTGACTGGTTGCACTATACACAGGTAAATTTTTTCCAGAAGGATTTAAATTATGGTAAAAACCTTTGGGTTCACACTATACATGAAGTCAGCTTATACACAAATATATACAGTATTAAAAACCTTTTGAAATTTAATTGTACTACATTCATGCATATAAATTCATGCAGTTTTGGATAAAGACCAATGAAAGTTTTAATTTTTTTATATTTAATTTACCTACAGTGCAAAATATTATGGTTTCCAAGAACTTGAACATAAATTGTCCCTTGTCTTCTGAGTACTTTCAAAGCTATTTTTTGTTGTTTGATTGGATTATGCCTACAAGTATGCATTGTTTTTTTTTATGACTTTTAAGTGTTGTGTAACTTACATCGGTAAGTGTAATATTGTCCCCACTCAAAGTATTGCATCCAAGTTTGTGATGTGCTATCAATTTTTAAATTGTAAAATAAATATTTTTGTTCCTAAATAGAATAATTTTTATGAATGTTGAATTGCTTGTATTTTATGATTAAGGTTTCTTATATTTGTTGTTCATTTTTTACAGTTTATGTGATAAAGTATTTTTGTGTGATTGGTAAGGATTTATTCAATTTCTTGCCTCTTGCTGGTTGGTGATATGCTATTTAATTGATCTATGATTGGATAAATGACATTGGTGCAATAATGTATTGATTGTGTAACCAATATATATGCTTTTTGAATTGTTATGAGAGATCCTGCAAGTGAGTAAATCAATTTGTAGACAATATTGGTTTGTTTTTATGTGGATTGCTGGTAATGATCATGGCTTTTAGTAGTGAATGAGCAGTTTGTTTTTGTTGATAAACAATATACATCAGGTTATATATAACATATACACACTCTCTCTAGACTACCCATGACTTGTCGAAATTGATTTCAACATTAAAAAAATTGCATGCCTCAAGAAAGTTGAAATAAAAATACTTACAGTATAAACGTTTTTTGTTTTTTTTTAAAATCTTATTCACTTAAAATAGTTATTTTTAAATCAGATTAACTATTAATATGCAAAAAATATTTGTCTTTAATTTATAAATATTTTAATTAAACTTATCGTGTTTGAAAAAAGTTAAAATAAAAATACTTACCGTATAAACAACTCATATTTTTAAATCTTATTCACTTAAATCATTATGTGCTGGGTGGACAACACACCACGAATTGAACAAAGTATTATCTCACACATTGAGTGCTGGTTTTAATAAAATAGTGTGTGATGCAATATAACAGAGCTATAAACTAATATATATATACCTCAATTTCATGCACAATGCAATCTTCAGGTGCTGAGTTATGTTACATAATTTAAATTTTGTTAAATATATCTGGTTGTTGCAATGATGAGGTAGTCCATATTTTAGGATTGTTATTTTTTAATTTTGTATTTAAAATAAACAATGATTATTTGCTGAACCTGGAAGGAAGATTTTAGCATTAAAAGATTTGTCTCTCATAGGAAAAGTACCTGATTTTTGTTCAGTTTGTACATCTTTCATATTAACAATTACTGTTTGTAATCATCTTGTTTAAGACTACAATTTCTTTTATTATTAATGTCCAGATAAAAAAAAAATATTTGTGATACAATTTCTCTCCTAAAAATTCTTTTTACTTTTCCTAGTATTTTTTCATTGGCGATCTACTAAGAACAAATTAAATCTATTTTTTCCCTGGGTTATGAAGTGTTCTGTGGGTATGTGCCTCACCACAGATCATGATTGACCTGACAGATGACCCTTTGGCCACTAAGTAGGTACCCATGTGCTTGGCACAGCAGTATAAGGAATGCAGGCATGGGAAAGAACTATCAGATATATGAACACCCACGCCAGAGTAGAAGAGCAGTCTCTCAGATATTGCAGACAAGAATGTAAAGTCCATGTTTCAAATGAGGGGTCTCAGGGCCATACACACACTGGCTGAGAGTAAATGATATAATGTTAAATATGAGAGATTCAAGTCTTGTGTTATTTTTCTTATTGGCACAAATATAAGTTACTGGTAAACCCAAAATTGTTCACATCTAGATGAAACAAACCTTGATGGGGAAAAAAAGAAAAAGAAAAGACAACTGAAAATGGTCCAAGGATATGTGGCCAAAACATTGTGTCTATAACTCTATAACAAAACAATAGCTTAAATCAATCAAAATCTACCCTCCAGTGTTATTTACCTGTCTGTTGCATTTTAAATTATTGTCAAATCTTGTTCTGAAGGAGCGTGTACTTCCTCTCTCTTATGCACATCATGGCTATGAACATCCAATATATTGATTGAACTTTGTCGCTATAAAGTTCAACACATACTCTGAAAGGTCACAGAATCAGTGTGGAGGTCAAGAAACAACCACAAGAACATACAGATGCAGACAGGGGACGTGACATGTATGAGAAGTGAAGCACATTTCCCCTCAGAGCAAGATTCGATGACATTCCAGAACATAACGGACACCCAAGGAAAACCGGAAAAACTGGAAGCAAAGACAAGGAAATTAATTGAAATATTAGTCCAAACCAATTACAGGCAATGACAATAATTAACTATTTAAATAATAAACATTAAAAAGAGAAAATATACCATTGGGAAGATCAATGAATTCATACCTGAAAAACCAAAAATATGACTCACTTTTTTGTGAACACACTCACAGCTTTGTTAAGATCATTGGAACAGCAGACCAAATTGTTTTGACCTTTGTAACCAACTCGACCCCAGCGCTGCCAAACATAATAGCATTGACTTGAATTCTCCTGCAGTAACTGAACAAGATAATACTTGTTATTATTATCAGCCGTGTTGGTCTGGAATTAAAAAAACAAAAATTTGTATTTATTCATGTAGTTGAAAAAAAAAAAAAATAACGATGAGAATCTTTTTTTTTACTTACCTAGAGAAAATAGGAAAATGTCAGATTAAATAGTTTCTTAGTGGAAGGAGGTATTAAAAATTGTGGGTAAGCAGGTCATATAAAAAGCTAGCAGTGGAGAGGAAGACCTTTTTTTTGTGGATGTTCTGTTGTATTGGGATGACATTTCTTAAGGACAGCTCATAAAAGAGACCAGATGCCTATTTTGAAAGTGTGGGTGACTATATATGACATTATCAGAAAATAAGATCGATGACTATATTAAATTTAAAGCCAAGATTCCTAAAGTTAGATTACAAAGAATATTTCCAACATTTTTAAGATTACCGAGTACTTAAAAATTATATAAAGAAAGCATTCACCGGACATTTTCTTAAAGTGTTTTAACAGATAAAGTCTCCTTAGAACAACAATAAACCTGTCAACACCTTATCAGTGCTTTCTAAGTGATTGATGAGTGATCAAAAGCATGTAAAACAACATTACTGTTTGTTTTAAAAATCCATTCCTGTTATTTTGAACTTAAGTAAATATTTGTTTCAAATCAGATTAATTATACTTTGAATCAGCTGATATTTCTCAAATAAAGTTTTGGAAAAGTATATTTTATTTTTGGAAGACTTTTTATACAGAGAATTACATTGAAATGAAAGATGAATAAAAAAAGGGTGCTAATCAACTATTTAAAAAAAAAAAAAAAAAAAAAAACAGAACATGGTTCCAATCAATATAATTTCTGTTTGAAATACACCAGAGTTGGTGAAAATAGCTGCTGAAAATAGTAAATTTAATCATTTACCTTTCAATTAAAGTTAAAATGAGAGCTTCAAGAAAGTTTTTTTTCATTTATGAAAATTCATTTTAAACCTTAGATATTAAAAATTAGTGGAGGTACCTAATCTTTACAAATATATTTTACTTATATCTGAAGTTTTTTTTCTCAAGTAATGGATTTTTTTATTTATTAATCTGGCAGATTTTATCACTTAAAATGTTATTTTTAGTGAATACTCATATCAGAGTAGATGCTATGCTTATTTAAGAAATGGTATATTTATATTTAAAAAATATTATTAAAGAAAAATATGCACCCTCCAGCAGGATTTGAAACTGCATTGCACTTGGCAGGGGCAAATAGTCATTAGATCTGATGTTCTTATACTGACATGAAAAACCTTTGCTGATCAAGCAAGGCTGAATAGTGCCTTTAAGTAGGTATCCCAAACCAGCTTAGTTTACAGTGCAAAAATGGGTCAAGATAGTGAAATTTCCTTCAAGTTCAACTGCTTGAATATTTTTAAAGTTTGGTAAAATTAGTAGTTAAAGAAAATTTAATGTTTTCTCTTTAGAAAAGTATAATTCTTTCTGTTGTGTGATAATTAGTTTTTATTCCAGGTCTTTTTAAATGAGGTCACGTTTCAGTGACATGCACGTTTTTTTCGGCAATTTAAAATCAGAGAATTTTATGTTTTGAAACTTGTTGTACTCAGAGTTGTGTTCCTATGCATATCAAAATAGTTCCATCGTAAAGAAAAGAGGATGCACGTCAATTTGGTGGGCTTAAAATAAAATTTAAGATCATTTTTCATAAAAAATTCTAAGTTGATGAAAAACCAGAGAAATTCACTTAAAAAAAATTGAAAATTACACCTTCTTATAGAACAATGTCTTGTCTTTAATAATCAGTTGGTTTCATATCACTATGTCCAACCAACTCAAAGTGCAACCAAATATAAAAAGGAGGGGTTTTCAAAATTTTAATTTGCTGGCTGCCCTGATAGACATTGAAAAGCTCTGGAGCTTTTAAATCCAACTTGTTTCATTGTTGGATATATCACAGTTTTTTGGTGAGTTTAAATCTTTTTCTTATATTTCTTATGTTTATTCTAATGTTGTATAAAGTAAATTACTTATTGTGTAATTAAATAGGCATTAAAAACAAACTAGAAATACACATTTTAATTAAATTTTACACTTTTGTCCATAGGGGTTTAAAATTGAAATTTTGTGTAGATCTTGTATTTGTCAAGGAAAAGAAAATTTGTGCAAATAAAAAATGAAATAAAGTATTGTAATTTTAAAATGTGTGTAATCTATCAAGACTCTGGCATGTGGATGAAAACAAATTTGGAGAAATGATTTTATCTCTTCCTTGATGAATTAAGAAAACACATATCATTAGTGCGAGGGGAGACAGACAAGGCCTATATTTTTGTTGATGAAAACGAATTGTGAAATTTAAACAAAGAACAAACCCATTTTGAGGGACGAAGTTATGAAGACAGACCCTGTCGTTGATGAGCAGGTGATCTGGTTTATATTTTTGTGAGACATAAATAAGTCCAAGTATGGAGAAATAATTTTAGGACTTCCTTGAGGAAACATGAGAATTAAAATTAATGATTAGAATAAAAACTATGCCCTTTCACCCATACAGGAAGTAGTCTGAAGTTGAATGCTGAGAAGGAAGAGGGGGAATTTGTCCCCACCTGTGTGGAGTGAATCAGGTTGGAGTATAAAAGAAGAGAAGTTCCTGTAAATTTGGGAAGTTGATTAAGAAAGCAGAAAATAGCGGGGGGGGGGTGCTTATTAAGATTAATATGAAAATTGAAGAACCAATGAATCCAAAGAACCCTTTGGCCCCCACACCAGTTTTGGGCCAAAGTGCATATAAGCAGATAGCTCTGAGAGCTCAAAGACTTGGGCTGCAAATCCTGCATAAAGTGCCTCTGGAATCCATGTCAGTTGCCACCAGATTTCCTGATTCTGAAGAACTTTGAACCCAAATTATTAGGTGAGGCATAGTGCCACTATAGATATTGAGGTGCAGGGTAAATGCAAGTTTTGGTTGGAATGTGAAAATGGTCAATTGAATTTATTTTTCATGTTGCTAAATGTAAATGAAGTTAGATTTGTTTAATCACACAACACAGAATCAGGAAAAAAAGGCAAGCAGAAATGTGGAGGTTTAAGTGGCTTTGTTTAAAGTTCCACAAAGTTACAAAAATGTTAAAGTGAAGAACGAACATTGTTTTGTAAAACAAACTTTTTAATGTAAAAAGTCGACAACTTAAAATTTTGTCCTTGAAATATATAACATAAGATAAATAAATGTTTAATATTGAACCTGGCCTGCCGATCTTTGATTATGGGGGTGAAACTTCAGTAGCCTCAGTTTTATTTTTTATTCTTCCTTTGTCTTTTTTCATAGATTCTACATTGTATTGAGCAATTTTAATTATCAAGTTTATCACAGTTGGAGTTTACTATGATTATGTTTTGTTATATTACTTCCAGATGTGCTTTATACCTCTCAGCCATGAAAGATTTCACAGCAAGGTTTGAGTATCTTTTTTAATACACGTGTTTGTTATATTTTAAGATGTTGGTTGGTTGATTTTATTTAGCAGCATAACAACATCTCTATGGGTTATTTAATGCCGAAATCTAAATATTTTGAACACAATTTTTATGGTTTCAACTAAATACATTTTGAATGCAATTGTATGCCTTCAACTAGATAAAATGTATTGTAGGTCATTTTACCTTAGAATTGTATAGTTAGTAATTTTAATATAAATATGTATTGTTGGTAATTTTTTTTTCATATAAAAATGCATTTTTATAATTTCATAGTGTTTTGTTTTTGCCCGAGGGCTCACTATTTGACCATAGGTGCTACCACCCTGGGAACAACAGCAATTATGAGGTGGTTCCACATACCTTAATATATTTTAAGAGTATTAAATTTATTTTATATTATTTTATATGCATTTATACATTTTCATAATTATTCATGATGCACATATAATAATCAGTACAGAAAAAATAAATTCATGAAAAGTGAACATACCTGGTTTAACATACAGTCCCATACATCATTACCCTGACAGTAGACATGGACTCTACCCTGAAGAGGACATTCACTGTCCACTGGAGCCTTGCCATTCATGACAATGGTCTTAACTGAATATAAAAAGAAAAAAAATGTTTAATTGATATCATTTGTTACTTTTTATGTATATTGTATTTAACAAAACAATGTAAGAAAATTCAACATCATGACAAGGCCACTTAGCAATCTAGTCTTATTTATTGGAGGATATGATTGTAACTGCCACAAGCAAATAACCTGTGTGCTTTTTGATATCTTAAAAATAGGCATACAGAAAAGAAAAATATTGTGGAAAAGAACAAAATGGGGCGGGGTAGACAGAATTGTCCATTTTTATTGGTTAGGAAGAAATCCCAGCATGCATCTGTGAGAGGTGTCTATAAATTTAGGGAGGGGATGTTTTTAGCAGTCATTTCTATGCAATTGGAACTAACAAATACCTAAAAATTATTATTTCATAAATTATTTAAATCTTTTAGAATTAAGAAAGTATGGTACATGATATTTTAACACGTTTGAATAAAGGTCCTGGTTTAGGTATTTGAAAACCAGTTTCACATATTTCCTATGTTAATCAGGAAAAAGGGAAGTGAGAAAGAAAAAAAAATATTAAATAGGAAAAAGTGAAGGAAAGGGAAAGAAAAAGAAGAAAGATGGAAAGGGGAAGAAAAAGAAAAAGAGAAGGAAGAGAGGGAAAGAGAAGGGAAAGAAGGTGAAAAAAGAAGAATAGAGAGGGAAGGAGAAAGTGAGGGGAAAGTAGAAAAAGGAAAAATGAAGAGAAGCAAAAAAAATAAAAAAAAAATAAAAAGTAAAATGATGAGGCTGTATTTTCATGATATTGTGACAAGAGATTAATCATGATTCTCCACAACTTCCTCCCATTTGTTACTATAAGCAACTCTTACCCTTTTACTTCCTCACTTTGTGCTTGCTCTATCCCCACAAACTCATTAAGATGAATCATTGCCACCCACCATCCATGCTTCTCGTCTTTAGTGTTACTTTTTCATTTGTGAAGAGATTGCCCAGCATTCATTAGTGGTATTACTGGGCTGCACTGGATCAGTGTTAATGATACTTCAGCCTCCTAATCATGCACAATCCTGTAGGCATCAAAAATGTACATAGAATTAAAATGATAAAATAATTTATAAAATGTTTATTAAAGAGGTAAATATGCTTTAAATCACTAACTGGACAAGAAAAAAAAAATGAGATAATTGCTTATGCTATCAAAAACGTTTATCTATAATAATAATTATTTACACTACTTACATTGCTCAGACTGCTGTCCTCATCTTTAGTGCCATATTTACATTTCAGCTGTTGTACACTCCAACCTACTTCAGTTGATATATGTTGGAATTTTGACCCGAACCCTTTATTTAGCCCACGGGGGTAGATTGTTTTAATTCTATATACCACGTCATGAATATAGCAATAAAGATGAGGACAACAGTGTAAATAGTTGCAATACCTCGTCTCAGAAATATAATAATGTTGATAATTTTAATTAACACACTATAATTCTGCTTGTTTCTTAGTTAAGACCTGTGAATAGTTCATAAATAATGGACTATTCCATTTTTGTGAGGAAAGATGGATCAAACACTTTAGTATCACTGAGAAAAGGAAACAAAGAAAGAGAAGATAGGGGAGGCAATAATACTCTCAGGTTTTTGGTGTCTGCTTCAGTGAAAAGGAAATTTCAATTGTCAATTTTAAATTTTTTCATTTGTACCCTCTTACTTTCTATTGCAATATTTTGTTAGAGTTGTTAAGTTTAAATATTTAATAAGACAACTGGGGAATTTCCATGTGTATTTTTTTTTCATTAAATATTATGAGGAATCAGAAAATCAAAATGGGATAACCATGAAATGATCATGGGTACTACTAGTTACTAATAATCTGTATTCCTACAGTTTTTCATTATGACTTGTAATTAAGTTATAGCACTAACATGCAACAAATGTAAGTCCCACTACATACACACTAAACTAATGTAAGAATAATGGCCAACATCAGCTAAAAATTACTATGTGATTAACTAGTGATTATTTTTATAGTAAATGGGGTGCGTAGGCAGAAATTAATGATAACAGTGTAGAAAATGGAATCCTTGATTAGAGGCCATTGAATACATTTGGTATTAATGCCTTTGGGCAACACATGAATCCATCTCTACCCAGCTATGTCGGGGCAGACAATTCTGCTCAAGCAGTTTCTTCCCAGAAACTGCTACCTTGTGGAACTGACTTTCAAGAGGATGCTTCTCAGATTGTTAAAATCTTAACCTGTTCAAGTCTAGGGTGACCTGTTACCTTCACCACATATCCGCATAAACTGTCTTACTCTGTAACCCTCTACCTCAAGTAGCTCCCAGGCCTTGGACAGGGTGAATATAAAAGTAGAGAAAGCAATGAGGAATCACTCCACTACCTTTCCCCAAAACAAATCATGGAAATTTGTAATTTATAGATATTTAAGAAAAGAAGCAGTGGAGAGCCATAATCATCCATATTCTAAAAAAAAAAAAAAAAAAAAAAAAAAAATGCAGTGTGTGTGAATAAAGTTTGATGAGAATCTGATGCAATGGGAAATAGACAAGATAATTTTTGCCTCGATATATTTAATGAAGTTGGCATCATCAGAAAATGAGTTTTATTTCACAAGACAAAAAGTTTAATTTCTACAAGCCAAACACCTGTCCTGCAGGCAGAGAAAAGTAAGTTACAAAAGAAGTTTCTTTTCTCTATAAAATTTATTTATAAACAACATTTTCAGTAAGATATTTATTTTCTGAAGTTCTTTTTGACATTATGCTAAGTCCACTTGAATTTCTGACTCTGGACATAGCTTAATAAAACTATGAGAAAAGCATTTGAATAATTTTTGTATGTTTATATTAATTATACAAAAAAAATTTTGAAAAAATTTTTTTAAATTTGATACTTTTAAGTCAATTTAATTAAACAGATTATTTTGGTTTATTTAGATATTGCCATGTTATTTTTTTTTTAATTTGTAATAACAAAATGTCAGACAACACTAGTTACAAATGCTGTTGGGGTTCAAATTATAGGATTCTTTAAAAATTATTTACTTTATAAATTTATACTGGAAAGAGAGGGAGATAGCAGAGGGAAAGAGAGGAGGAGACGACAGAGAAGACAAAAAGAAATGTTATTTTTATAAGGAAAAGTTACCTTTATTTCATATTTTCTTTAGATATACTGATATTTTTTCTGCTAACATACGACAGTTTTGAAAAGAGTGATATAAATTCTTTCTATATAAACATGATGAATAAAAGAAAATAAAATAAAAATATTGTTGATTTAAGGCAATTTTTAAAATTTGAATTAAAAATAAATAACACTGATAAAATATTTATTAAAATACATTTTAAAAATTTGTTATGTAAATTAAATGTTACCACTTATGTTGTAAACACTATTTGGTAGTAATATAGTGATTTACTAAGCATAACTTAGGTGTGGCATATGTTGTGGTATTTTTCAGTTGCGCTCACACAAGGTTGGAGTTTAATGTGGCATTTAGAAAAACTGCTCAAGCCTTCTCGGCACTTCCTCTTTTAGGGATGATGTGTAATAACCCTAGCCCCACTACTGAAGGAGGGGTTGGGGGCAGGCAGGGGGCTCGAGTTTATATTTTTAACTTCCCTGTCTGAAAAGCCAATAGCAATAAATGTGTAACTTTGATGTGACACAAAGGTGAAAACATGGAGTCCCAAGTGAGGACTTTATTTCATATTTTCTTTAAAATTTTTGTTGGTTGAAAAGAGTTTCGCATTTAAAAAAACTGTTTAACATGCGTGAAGTTGGATTTAGTCAAAATCAAAACAAGCAAATAAAATGCGTGCAACATCACGACCTAACATGCGCAAGTGAAATATTTGTGTGGTCGTCTATTATGATTTTTACGAGCGTGTCAATAATGGCAAACGCATTCAGGAAACTTTCATTACGGATAGAAGCTGCAAAGAAGAACAAATGTTTTATTTATTTCATTACAAGAATTTACAAAAAGGAACTATCAATTAGCTTATCTTCATACCCTGCCCGGTGGCAACTGCTGCTGGTGGCACCAGGGGTGGTGGTCCCGGCATAGCCACCAAAACCATATCACCCCTGGTCGGCAGCTGATGAAGACAGGGTATCGCCTTGTGCTAACACACGTTGTATGTTAAAAAAAAAAAAAAAAAAAAAAAAAAAAAAAAAAGCTACTCAGTTGTAATTCCCATTTGTTAGTAATCTATCTATATATAAAATTTTGTGACTTCTGTTAGTCACACCCTCTAGAATGAGCCATACATTGGCTGACCAAAACAAACTTTGGGAGAGAAGTGCAAACAGGTAAGTGGGTACAAAGTACAGTTGGTTTTACTCGGGTGCATAGCTTCATACATATAAAAGCTGATAGTAAAATCACTATGTAAAAATATAGGCTGTTTTGTTTTACTAATGTAAGGTGGGGGACATACAGACAAAATTTAGCTTTATGCAAATTTCTAAAAGATAATAACACAGTAAAAGTAAAACTAAAGCATCCTGGCACTTAACATGAATCGTGTTTCTCGTCTTTAATGTAGATTTTGTCCTTGTGAAATAATTTTCTTTTTCTAACATCAGTGAAACATGTCAAGGTAAAAAAATTTCTGAACTGTCTTTCCTGTACATATACAAAAATAAATAATGGCTACAGAATCCCTTTTCACTTTTAGGACTTTTTTTCTATAAGTTAACAAATATTTATTCTGGTTCAGGAATGCAATATGTAAGAAACAAATAAATTGAGAACATATACTGTTTTTTTGAGTGTTGCAATCTTCTTGGGGGACAGCTGAATCTGGAGGTTCTTTTTTTATTTTCCTTGTTCCAGATGATGCGGACCGCTTGCAATTCTTCTTCTGTTCCAAAGTTTCAGGCAGCACTAAGTCAGTGACACCATTACTGTTTGTTGTACTTCCACCACTGCTGCTACTAACACACAAGTCAGTTAAGACATTACAGCCAGCAGCTGGAGCTCTACAGTCACCTGCATTAACACAAAGAAAAAAAAAAAATTATCTTGGTGTGACATTGTGAATCACTTTTTTTGTAAATTTGTTAACAAGTGACAGTGACATAAACTGCAGATTAATTCTTTAAATCTATTTTTCTCAAAATACTGCAATTTAATATGTTCATATGATCAAAATTTTTTTCAAGGTGCCTGCACCAACATTTTTAACATTCAATCATAAAGCATATTATAGGAATCCAATTGTCATCTTAGATAGAAAATTATATTATGTATGTATGACAAGACTTTCAGACCACCCTCACTCAAGAAATTCAGATATAAATTTTTACTAAATCTTTTTTTTTTTTTTTAAAAGAAGATAGGATGACTTGAACATCCCCAGCCTCCACTAATGAAAGTTGTCCTGAAAGGCCACTGTAGATATTTTTTGTACAAATGTAGGTGTACCAAGGGCTCAGCCCTTGGACTTTGTTTTTAAATTTTCACCAATGACCTCCCTGATGGCATTAGTTCTCAACTCGGTAGTTATGCTGATGATAACTATTTACTCCTGTCTCAATAGTAATTCTGATTGGTTCGATAAGGTCAAATTAGCAGCTGATCTCAAAAACGACCTACAATCTGTTGTTAACTGGGGCAAAGAATATCTTGTTAATTTTAATGCCTCCAAAATGCAACTTCTCTCTATTGATCATCTGAGAAACCCCTTTCTGCCTCTCATCATTATGGTTGAGTGGCTTGTTGCACCTTCTTGGGCTAACATTATCTGCTGGCATGAAGTGGAAAGATTACATTGAATCAATTGTGAGGTCTGTTGCTAAGAAAGTTGGTTCACTGTGTTATGCTAGATAATTTTCCTCTCCAGAATCTATCTTACATATTTATAAGTCTACCATTCATCCAGGCTTTGAATATTGCTTCCATATCTGGTCAGCTGCTCTATATTTAGAGATTGTTGATAAAATCCAAGCAGAATCAGCAATATTATTGATACTGACCTGACATCCCAGCTTCAGTCACTTTCCCACCGCTGTAATGTAGATTCCCTATGCCTTTTCTATAAATACTTTCATGGTAATTGTTTGGATAAACTTGTTGCTATAATACCTAGACTGTACGAATTTAAGCACGGTACTAGATTAGCACCAAAGTCTCATCAATTTACAGATTCAATTATAAGTTCTATACTAATGGTTACTTTTCTTGTATTTGTTGCTTGTGAAACTCTTCTGGTTTCATGTTTTCCGGTCAACTTTGATCTTCAAAAGTTTAAATGCAAAGTCAATTGTTATCTACTGTCATCTTGATTTTTCTTCTTTTATTGTTCTCACTCCTTAATAAGGTTTCTCTTTTTCTTATTCTTTTGCACTCAGTGACCCCTTGCATCTTAGTGGCTTCACTGCCTTGCTTGGGGTGAAATGATAAAAAAATAAATAAATAAATAAAAAATAACAATGGGAGTACTATGTTGGCTTTTATTCAATGAAACCTATATCACACCCAAGTGGTCAGAGGAACAGGAGAAGCAACAGGGGACACTGCATGGACCCTAAGATGATGCATACCAAGTTCATGTCATCTGATGTTGGGTGAGGGCAGTGAGCAATGAACAACAAAAGAAAAAGCCCAACATGCTAAATTACAAATTGGAGATGGCAAAATGAAACAAGTACAAATGTTTAAATATCTGGAAAGTGTTTTAACAGAGGAGATGACATTGAAAATGTTTAGAAACAGGAAAATTTTATTAGAAACAAAGAAAAGAGAACTGTTATGTAATATCAATTCTTGCATATAGCAGTAAATGCTGGACAATTTCCTAACAGATGAAGAGAAAACTTAAAGAAAAAAAAGAAAAAAGGGAGATAGTGGCCCATCTGAACTGTAACAAACATCACACCCATTGTACCTGAAGTGTGTCATGCCTTCCCTTGACAGTGTCTCTCATTTATATAACAATTATTATGGAAGATACTAAGATACTCATTTGACATGCAATATTAGCACCAAGAAAATCCAATCAAATGTTGACTATACATATGGGGTGGCATTACATTTGTTTCTTTACATTGGAGCCAGGGGAGGAGATTAGGGATTACCTTGTATGAGAGAGGAAACACAGGGAAGACTGCCATAGATTTGGTGGATGGTATTTCCAAGAGAGGTTTTGAGCTCTCATCAAAAGACGTGTAGGTTCCATCCAGACATTTCTCCATGCCTTTAGAGAGTGTCCACGTCTCTGAGACAGAGTAGAATTGGCTCAACAGCGGTTCTGAATATTTTGATCTTAAGTTTTCTGTCCAGACCTTGTGCATATCATTGTATGCAGAGCATACCATACCCATCCTAGTTTGGAAGTCTTTCAAGAACTTGAAACTTGATTCAAATTGGTGTTATTTATAGGATATAAATACTAAGATACTCATTTGACATGCAATACAAGCACCAAAAAAAAAAAAATCCAATCAAACATTGACTATACATTGGGTGGGGGTGTTAATGTTGTATTTTGGTACACAAGAGGATACAATCTCCAAAAGTTTGGGAACCATTGCTATAGATCAAAGCAAAAGATTTATTGTAGAAAGTAATACTTACTGTAGAATTAGAACTTTGTTGAATGATTTGCTAAATATGAGAGTTCTTGGGGAGCTAAGACTGTAAAACCATAATAGAATCTGGTGTCTGAAGGAATTGGTACATATGCTAGACTATAGCAGCTTCCTTAGAGGCCTAGCATAGAAATAAATACCATATAGGAGCCATTAATAAAGAGACATGACAGCAAAGCTCCAACAGTATTAAGAGAAGCAGCAATATAGGTGGTCAGGCATACAGGTAAGAACATTAGGTTTAAGGCTTCAAGTTCTAGATTCAGGATTGTCCCATGAGACAATATCTTAGTGGATTAAATTTGCTAACAGTAATTGAGAGTTCAAACTCTGTGCCAGGTAGTACAGACTTAGATGGAAACAGGGTAAGCAATATTAAATAAGAAAAAGACGAAATATCTCTAGATAAGTACAGTGGAATTTGAAAAAAAGTTTTACACCTTTAGATTAAATACAAGTTTCAGTTTGAAATTCCCCCGCAGGTTACCAAAAGCAACAAACAGCTGATGAAGGTTGGCTGGCACAATTGATTGGTTGATTGATCCATTTACTTTTTGCGGCTTATCAAGCTGAAACATATCTTGGATTGTAAGAATTCTTTTTTTTTTTTTATGAAGAATATTGCATTAACAATTTTTCTAGATACAAGTCCTACTATTTAACCCATAGTTGGGGAGAGAAGAAATGGATCTATACCTATCACAAGTGTATTTGCATATAAGTGAATGTAATGAACTCAATTGGAATTTGAACTCTGCTCAGATTTCTCATTCGGAGCTACTATCCTGGAGGGCGCAACGGCTGAAATGATGATAGTATGAATATGAAGAAGGATAACTCCTCATCCCAGGAATTCAGAAGACATAAAAGAAGGATTAAAGCTTAATTAAATGCAGATAATCTTGCAAATATAGAAAATAAAAACATGACTTACTCTGAATTCTTTGTATTTTTCTGGTTTCACTGGTAGCAACATTTGTTTGTGACATATTCTTCAGATTAATAGCAAGAGAATGGTTGCTACTAACAATGTCAACAGAAGGCATTCCACGTTGATAGGCATTCTCCAAGACCAAGCATGAAAGGACACTGAACATCTCCCATTTTCCCTTTTCTCCTTGCCACTGCCAGGAATAGAAGGCTGTTCCAGAGAAAACATATGATGGAAAATGTATTTGGTAGATTTAAACAAGAGGAGATAATCCAAGATGGAAAATTAAAAAAAAATTATATGAAAAAATGTTGGCAAAATTTAACCTCTGGAAGCACAAAAAAGGAAAGAAGGACAGTTTTTCTCTTGACACTGATATTACTGTAAACTCCCTCAGTAATATTTACTGGTTTTAAAAGCTATGTTTAGAATTTTAATAACAAAAATGTTACAGAGTATTTAGGTGTTCGTATATTTACAAGATTAAAATATGTGGACCAACTACAATGCAATATTTATCATTCACAATTTTATAAAGAAATTATGAAAAATAATGTTTTTGCCATTATTAAAATTACAAACATAACGAACACTGCTGAAGAAGCATATTGTAATACCGATGACAAAAATTCTTAAATTTTTCCGTTTGGTAAGGGATAAGCAAGTGTAAAAATTGTCTATAGTGTCTATTGTCCTAAGTGCTTTCGATTACTTTACCCATTTTCAAGGGGTCTGTTGTTAATTTCTTTTCGAAGTTGTCTTTTAATATATATCGTATCAACTGAAGTCAAAATGATAGAGTTGTTGTAAACTCCATGATCTTTTTTATTGAATGTACTGTGTATACTTCACCAGGGTTACACATGGTTTTAAATTCAGGATTGTCCTTCTGGACTGGTTGCTCTGTTATATAACCTATAACTGGGGAGTGGGGTGGAGAAGAGATGGATTCATACCTTTCCTCAAGAGTATTTGTGTGAAACTAAATGCAGTAAAATTAACTATTTT